ACTTGGAGACATATGATGGCTTAGGTGACCCAGATGAGCATCTGCACACCTATCAAGCCATTATGAGAATCCAAAATGCCAATGATGCCATGATGTGCAAAGTGTTCCCAGCGACACTGAAGTCAATAGCCAAAACATGGTATCACAAACTCCCCAGACATTCTATAGACTCATATTCCCAGCTCGCCAAGCTGTTCTCCAGCAAATTTGCAAGCCAGAGGGAGATCAAACGCACAGCGACCGAGCTGATGCAAGTTCATCAGAAAGAAGGGGAATCTCTGAGGGACTACATGCAATGATTCAACAAAGCCACTTTAGATATTGATAACGTCCCAGATACCATCTGCTTGTCTGCCTTGCTGCATGGTTTGAAGCGTGGTTGGTTCCTAGACGACTTGCTAGAAAACCCACCAAAGACGTGGAACGAAGTGAATGATAGGTCGGCTAGCTTCATACTGTCAGAAGACTTCCAGTCGTCCAAGCGGTGAGCTGATGATAAGCGGGGCAAAAGCCAGGAACAACCATCGAGGAGAGAAGAAAATAAAAAGCAGAAAGTCAACGAGCAGTGGGGGAAGCCCGCTGACTTCCCAAAGTACGCCAACTACATTCCTTTGATCTTGCCAAGGTCTCAAATCCTGGCACAAATCCAACACTGGGTTAGAAGACCCCCACCCCCACTGCATGATTCCCCGATGGCAGATAAGAGCAAGCATTACGACTACCACCGTGCTTATGGTCACAATACAGAAGACTGCCAACACTTGAAGGACGAGCTGGAGTTCTTAGCTTGCAATGGGAAATTAGAAGGATATGTGTAGAAGCCTTATACTCAGCAACCATCTCAAATTCACTTTGTGCAAGGGTATGACTGACCTCAGGTGCAGAGGTATCAGCTCGGCAGCACACAAGATGTGTATCAGGATAGCCAGTATCTTTCTGAGCAGGGTAGAGCATGTAGGGGACGTCAGTTCAATAGGCAAGGACAAAGACAAAGAACTGCCGCCTAGAACCAAAAAGATAGGAAAGGGGTAGGTTACGCTGGGATACCCTAGCCCTCTGGTATAATAAATATGATATCAGGTGGTATTCACTCTGGAGGCCAAAGTGCTCGAGGTCGCAAAGCGTATGCACGCCAGGTGATGACTATTAATAAAAACAAGCCTTTGAAACGCCCGTTTGAAGAAGCACAATGGGAAAGTGCACTCATCACATTCAGCCTGACAGACTATAAGCGAGCAGACGGAGAGCCCGACGTTATGATGCCACATGCAGGCCCTTTCGTGGCAACGGTTCATATAGGCAATCATAACGTCAACAAGGTCTTCATTGATATTGGTAGTTCACCAAATATCTTGTACTGGAGTTGCTTCCAAAACATGCAGCTGAATCCGAGCTCGCTGCAGAAACACGAAGGGCCTATATATGGGTTTGACAATTAGCCCATCCCGGTTGAAGGAGTCATTACTCTTCCCATCTATGTGGGCTCGAAGCCACGATTCAAGATGGCTTCCGTTACCTTTCTGGTCATCAAGATGGAGTCAACTTTCAACACTATACTGGGAAGAGCCACTCTTTGCGAGCTGAAGGCTGTCATCTCGTAACCCCATCTTTATATGAAATTCCTAACTCCTCAGGGGGTAGGAGTGCTTAAAGGGAATCAGAAGATGGCCAGAGCTTGCTACCAAGATACTTTCAAAAAGGTTGAGCTCGCTGCTGCCCCTGCAGGTTCTGAAAATCACAGGCCAACCCAACTCGGTCAGCAGACAATGAGCATATCAGATATCAAACATCGACCTGAAGGTGTCGAGCAGAAGGCTGAGCCAGTAGAACCGGTGGAAACGGTTCCCTCAAACCCTGATGTGCTAGAAAGGACGGTTAAGATCGGCACCAAGCTCATAGAAGAAGAACGAGCAGAGCTTCTGGAGTTCTTGAGGGTTAATCAAGATGTGTTTGCGTGGACTACGAATGAAATGCCTGGCATCCCAGCAGAGTTGACAGTCCACAAACTCAGCACGGACCCCACCAAAAGGTCGGTGGTGCAGAAACATCGCCTTTTTGGCCCTGAGAAGTAAGCTGCTATAGATGAAAAGATACAAAAGCTGCTACAGGCAGGCTTCATCAGGAGAGTGGAATACTCTGAGTGGGTGTCCAACTCGATGCTCGTTAGAAAACCAAATGGCAAGTGGAGGATGTGTATTGACTTCACCAACTTAAATGAGGCATGTCCAAAAGACCCTCATCCCTTGCCAAATGTGGAGAAGCTAATAGAGCGTGTAGCCGGGCATGAGTAGATGAGCTTCCTCAACGCTAGCTCGGGGTATCACCAGGTTCAGTTGCTGTTGGATGACCAGGAGAAAACAACTTTTTATGCTGGTGACGCAATCTACTGCTATGTCATGATGCCATTTGGCTTAAAAAATGCTGGCGCTACATATCAAAAGCTGGTGCAAATCATCTTTATGCTTCAAATCGGTAGGAACATAGAAGTATATGTGCATGACATGATAGCCACCAGTGTACGAGCTGAAGATCACATAGACGACCTGAGTGAGACATTTCAGAACTTGCGCCGAGCCTAGATGAAGCTGAATCCCCTGAAGTGCACGTTCGTTGTAGAATTAGGAAAATTCCTAGGGTACGTGGTATCCAAAAAAGGAATTGAAGTGAACCCAGAGAAGGTTCTGGCCGTTCAGCAGATAGAGCCTCCCAAGACTGTAAAGGATGTGTAGCGTTTGACAGGTCGTGTAGCCGCATTGCACAGGTTCATAGCCAAGTCGGCGAAAAGATGCCTCCCATTCTTCAAAGCCCTACGAGAGCCCAAGAACTTTCAATGGACCGATAAGTGTTAGCGAGCGTTTGACGAGCTCAAACAATATCTAGCATCAGCACCCCTACTGTCAAAGCCTGTGGGAGGGGAGAGTTTATAACTGTACCTGGGGGTTACAAAAGAGGCAGTAAGCTTAGTTTTGCTCAGGGAAGATAATAGGAATCAGAAGCCTATCTGCTATGTGAGTAAGGTTTTACAAAGCGCCGAGCAGAACTACCCGCTAGTAGAAAAGGTTGCTTTTGCCCTGATTTACACAGCTCATAAGTTGAGAGCTTATTTCCAATCACATCAAATTGTTGTTTATACAGATTTGCCATTGAGGAAAATACTGTAGAAACCGGAACTCTCTGGTCAGCTTATCGGGTGGAGTGTCGAGCTAAGTGAGTACGACCTCAAATTTCAGCCGCGCACAACCATTAAAGGTCAGGCCGTTGTAGACTTCCTGGTGGAGTGCATCTCGGCGACTGTGGAAGAAAAGGCATTCGAGCACCCAGTATGGGTTTTGTATGTTGATGGAGCTACTAATATTGAAGGATCGGGTGCTAGGGCTGTGTTAGTGGGCCCAGACGGCTTTAAATCCGAGCATGCACTGAGGTTTAAGTTTCAGACAACTAACAATGCTGTAGAATATGAAGCCCTCATTTATGGATTGAAGCTAGCGTCCGAGCTAAAGGTACAGAGCATTCAGGTTTTTAGTGACTCTCAGCTTGTTGTAGGCCGGGTGAATGGCAGCTGTGAAATTAGGGATCCACAGCTTGGTCGTTATGCTTCGGTGGTCAACCGATTGAAGTCAGGATTTATCTATTTCCAAATCGACAAAATACCAAGAGCAGATAACCACCGAGCGGACGAGCTGTCAAAGTTGGCCTCCTCGCAGCACCTTAACCCCCATAGGTCAACAATTGTGGAGCTATTTGACGCCCCGAGCTACACCGATGTCACAGTCGAGTGTCAGCTGCTCAGCACAGATCCCTCTTCACCAAGTTGGACTACCCCGCTCATAAATTATCTGCAAAGTAGCGAGCTACCTGAAGATCCGTCCGCTGCAAAGTTGATTAAACGCAGGGCAGCACATTTCACTTTATTAGATAATCAGTTATACAAACGAGCAGTCTCAATGCCTCTATTACATTGCCTTACCCCTTATGAAGCTGAATACGTTGTGAGAGAAATTCATGAAGGAGTATGTGGCACGCACATCGATGGCAAGACTTTAGCTCAGAAACTCCTGAGGCATGATTATTACTGGCCTATTATGGTTGAGGATGCACAGAAATATGTCAAAAAGTGCCCGACCTGCCAGTCAATGCTAATGATATACACATGCCAGGTATCTGAGCTCGTTCTAAAGTTCATGCGAACTTTGTCTTCGTTTATAAATTGAGCCTAAGTATCTTTGTTGAAGCAGGAGAAATGTTCTCATCACTTCCATCTCCTTGGCCTTTCGCTCAATGGGGGGTCGACCTGCTCGGCCCTTTTGTCAAAGGTAAAGGAGGTTACACTTATCTCGTTGTCACGGTCGATTACTTCACCAAATGGATAGAAGCTAAACCATTGTCCATGACAACAGAAAAGAAAATAGAAGAATTCTTGTTCAATTCAATGTTGTGTAAGTTTGGTATACTTAAACGGATCATCGCTAACAATGGTCCCCAGTTCCGAGCCGCCGCATTGAGGTCATTCTGTAATGACTATGGCATTGAGCTCTCCTTGACATCTGTGTATACTCCACAGTCCAATGGACAAGCCGAGTCCGCCAATAAAATCGTCCTGCGAGGCCTCAAGACACGTGTTTTGGCTGCACATTCTAATTGGGTTGACGAGCTCAGTAAACTGCTTTGGTCATGTCGCACTACACCCAGCTTGGCCACAGGCGAAACCCCATTCAGCCTTGCTTATGGAGCTGAGGCCGTCATCCCAGTAGAGGTCGGATTGCCATATGAAAGAGCAGGTCGGCACA